TTTTTTTTAAAAAAATCATAAAATTACAAAAAAAATAGATGATTAGTTTCATGATTAATTAATGATTAATTTGTCTTTTGATATTTTTAGATTAATGCATATATACATGTATATTTAGATCTATACTGTTTCATTTATAATAAAAAATTATAGAATATATAGATTTTTATATATTATGATAAACAATTATTTATTTTTATTAGAAATCCACATACTTCATAATCACAATAATATATTGTATCTATTTATACAAACTTATATATATCTTCATCAAACTTATAATATATCGTAACATTCATTATTAGTTATATAAATAAATACTTTTTATTTTTTGGATTTTTTGATTGAATTTGGATTTGGATTTGGAATTTGGATTGAATTTTTCAAATTTTTTTATATTAATTCTTTAACCAATCAAAATAACTTTCAAAACAATATTATCTATTATAATATTGTACATATAATACAATTGGTATCTGTTATAAATAAATTTGTTATAAGAAAATTATTTCTTAAAAAAAATCTGCTAGTAGTATTTTTAATATTACATATTTAATATTTGTTTATTTACTAAAATAATTACATTTTTTTCAAAATTAATCTGATATTTTTTTTATTCTCAGAGAAAAGCTTTTTGTTCTTTTCTCTTTTTACTTATTATATTTTAAAAAACAATCTATGAGCAATATGTAACATATTTTCACATTATTTGAATTTTGTATATAAATATATACAATATATATGATGAAGATATAACAACCTATATTTATATATATCTTTATTTGGGATTTTATTTAAAAATTGCATTATTATTTATTTGACATTATATTCCAGATATAAAAAAATAATATATAATAATATATAAACTTGAATAGAATTTATTTTTAAAATATTAAAAATATTACCATTCTTGTAAAAAAAAATATTGTAACAAAAATATCATTTTTATAAATATTAAAATGGGAGTCAGATCTAATATTTAAATGTAATTTTTCGATTGATTATATTTTTCTTAAACTAAATCTTTTTTTTAATATCCTATACATTCTAAATTCTGTTCATACATTAAATCAAAAAATATTCGATTCACAATCACAAAAAGTGATCGCCATTTGTTGCTGTTGCTATTATTGTATATCTATATAATTATATAACCTATAAAATCTAAAATTTTGATTTTTAATATGTAACATTATACTCTTATTTGGAAATAGTAAAGTTATTTCAAAACATTAATCATGATCGTTACAATTGTCAATATGAAAATATATCTTAACATATATTCTAATAAGTGATAATCAAAATGTTATTATTTCCTTCCCAACTTACTTTTCCTCCTTTATTATTTCTAAATAAGAGTATGACGTTACATACTGAAAGAATTTTATCTTGTAAATGTATAAATCTTGTAAATAATATAATAATTATATAGTATCATTCTTTTCTTAAATTAATTTTTCTCTCTCAATTAGAATGTGACGTCAAATTTTGTAAATTTAAAATCTACATCTGAATCTTATTTATAGTATTATTTATAGTATTATTTATAGTATTATTTTTTCACCATTCTTAGTCATTCAATACTTATATAAATTAGCAATAAAAAAGTTCATCAATTATTAATTATGATAATATATATTTTAACATACAATTTTTATATAGATGATTAACAAATATATAAACAACAGCATACGTTATACGAATCATAAAATTATTATCGAATTACATATTTACTAATTAAATTTTTATAACTTCATTTTTTTGCGAATTATGTTTCTAACAATCGAAAAATTATAATTTGCTGACGATGCTGACGATGAGTGAACTTACATGCATCTCTCTGCGATCAAATGATTTATATAATACTTAATTTTGGATACTTATTTTTGAAAATATTAAATAATAACTCAAATATGTGCAATATAATACAATAATAAAAGCAAAAATTCGTTTCGT